GACGGCGTAAACTGGCATATGCGAAACTAGCTTTCTGTATCCGTTCTGAGATTTCGTGAACCATCAACCCACTGGTTTGTGTGATGCAACTCCCCAAATAAGTGAAGTGGTCAACACGCTGTACCACTTCACTTCCCTATATCTTTAAAATAGGAGTAAGTCAATGTGGTCCAGTCCTGTAACATCATCTCAAGTTTGGCGGGAGGGATTCGCATGCCAAACATTCGCAGATTTCAGCTCCAGGTGTTCAGAAGACTCTGTTGGATTTTTTCAGCATCCTCATCGAGAAGGACTCTATCATCTGCATATTCTGGGTCAACCAGTTTATTCCCTGATGGTAATAAGTCAATCCCTGAGTCGCTGAAGTGAGTTAGGGTTAATTCCATTAGTACCTTTATGATGAAATTGAATAGAAATGGGGATAGTGGGCATGCCTGTCGGACACCACTAGTTGTCACCACTTCAGATGACAACTCGCCGTAAGCTCTCACCTGGCTACATGAGTTCGAGTAGAGTGATTGCCTTGATCAGTGCAATGTTTTTCCTCGGCATTCGTTTAACAGCCAAACATCGCCAGAGTACATCTCGGTCGACAGAATCGAATGCCGCCTTTAGGGCAAGAAATATAACGATTGTTGGACGTCGGTAAGTATGGCTATGTTCCAGAATCTGTCGAAGGGTAAAGATGTGATCAATACACCATCTTCCTGGTATAAAACCTGCCTGGTTCTCTCGTGTTTGTGCCTCCCGAGCACCACTTCGTCTACGCATTATTATTGAGCCTAGAACTTTAGATACCACATCAATTAAGCTAATCCCCCTGTGATTATCACAGGAAGACTTGTCTCCCTTCTTGTGTATCGCCATAATCAGTGACTTACACCACCCCGACGGGACTTCCTCTGTTACACCCCTGTTCCCCAGCAGTACGACTTCCGCACAGATCCCCAAAGTAGGGTAGAAATAAAAGTCTCACAAAATGCCGGTAACTGCTTTTAGTCTAATTGCTATCCTAAGAACCTTCCTAGCATGGTAGGACCTGCGCGAACAATAGTTCCATTCAGTGTAGCTTGTTGGATCATTGCGATATGCAAGCCCAACCACCACTTCAAAGCAGCAGCTATCCATCGGGGCAAAACATAGAGTTTTGAAGTTACAATGGCGGTGGTGTTTGTTTACGGGATGGGGTTGCTATTGCTCCACAGCCATGCTTTCCCCTTTACTGGGCTTATTGTCGGCTAAGCGAGGTTTATGGGATGCGTAGACCGGGAGTCGAACCTGGATCACATGCATGATTGAAACGCTGATGCGCATAATTCCATATTAGGTAAGAAGATTTGATATAACACACACACACACACAGTTTTAATAACTGGATGACATTTTGAGTATAATCTATACTACTCACAATCATATGGATATTTTTTTTATTTCTATGCGTTCCCAGTAGAACATAGGGCTTCTAGCTGGAAGATAGAATTGATGAGCCATTGGATCGGGTCCCAGTGACTTACTGGTCTACGAGCTTGCTCGCTTTGTAACCAGAAGGTCGTAGGTGGGCGCTTACTGTGAAGACTCCCAAACTAGGACGAAACAGCTACCCAGTAAGTACTCCACTGGCGGTTCTCCAATGGTTTTCTAACCGATTAGGTCAGCTCATGATGATGAAATCCTCCACCCTTCAAGCTAGACCTTAGAAATTTCAGTAGCAATGGTGGGGTTGCTAGCCTCATGCCCAACCTTCCCTCTTTACCAGTCTTACTACTAGCTTTGCGGAGGTTTTGAAGTGCGTCGGCCGGGGACCGAACTCCGAACCACATGTGGCGTGGTTGGCGAGCACTCCACCGTTGTGTCACCGAAGTAAACATACCGATATAAATATAAATATGCCCCACTTGTTTTATTTCAGTTACTTTGCATAGATGCAGGATAGGCACTGAGTCATTTCGATTGCACGTGTTTAGTGTTAATCACTGGATATTTGCTCATCGAAATGACGCAGCGACACGTAACCTGTATATATATATATATATATATATATACATATATATATATATATATATATATATAGAATTGTAATAAAAAATAACACGACAGCTATAAAAAGAAAGCAAGTTAGAAAGTCATGAGATGAATACACGTAATGATATTATTAAAGGCTATACCACTGTGCTGAGAACGTCATCCAGGGGCATATGAATTTTTAACGATCAATGTACACAAAGTTGCACATTACTGTGTTTATTCTCATCCGTATTTTTTTAGCCTTGAGAGGAAAAGTTCTTTGATAAATAGGCTGTTTTCTTCACCCTCGGTGTTAGGTGATTTTATACCAATGAGATGACGAGCACATAAGGTCAGTTTGATTGAGTAAAATTCCAACAAAGAACTTTGTGCACAGAAGCGCGGCAATTCAATCTGTCAGAGCTTCATGTAGTACACAAAGGCAGAGAAAAGAGATTAAACAAAAAAAGAAAAGAACTATAATCAACGGATTGTCAGTGGCACAGCGGGAGAATGCTTGACAACCCACGCATGTGGTCAGGAGTTCGATTCCCAGCTGACGAGGCGCTCCCTCACCTCACTAAGCCAGTAATAAGACTAGTAAAGAGGGAAGGTTGGGCATGAGGCTAGCAACCACCCCATCCCGTAAAAGTAAAAACACCACTGCTACCGAAACTGTAAGTCTCTAGTTCGAGACCCTATGTTCCACTGGGGACGTAAAGGAATAGAAAATAATTATAGTAATCAGCGGAAATGTGCGGTAGAGTGGTTTTAGGAGACTAACAAGTAATTTTTTTCTTTCCGACTGCCGTCCGTATCCATGGTCACAGAGTTAAGAGAAGACGAAGGACCTACCTGCCTGTGAGATAGTACTAACACAGGAGGAGGAAAGCAAGATGGATGATGAGAAATGACGGAGGTGAAGGTGATTGATAGTCAGGAAGGCGTTGTGTGCTGCTAGTGTGTGGCTAGTTATTATTTCCAAGCTATCTATACCAAAGAAGTTGGTTTCTTTTCCTGGAACAGACGGGGAGCGCATTAGAGTTAATTGACCACACAGCAACCAATGGACAACTGCTTAGGGCCGATCACACATAGCCTGTTTCAAGTGGTTTTGTGAATCTCGTTTGTATTAACATCTTACTGTCAGCTACGGACTGCCACAAGTTGAGTTGAGATGTACAGTTTTCAGGGTCGACTTTGTCTAACTCTCCCCCCTCCTCCAAGGCGAAGAGGCAGCATAGGCGGGATGCTGGTCACCATTTCTTTTCACAGCTTTAGGATTTTTCTTTCATTCTTTTTGTGTTCCAAGTGGAATATATATAGGGCAGTAAGCTTTTAAGTTTTAATAGCGACACAATATTGATTTTTTGCTGGGTGGAATGGCTAGTCTCACACCCAGCCAAACTTCTTTATTGGGCTTGCAACTAACTTCAGGAGGTTGAAGAGTTTGTCTGCCGGGAATCGAGCCTAAACCACGTGAGTGGTTGACTAACTGGTTTCATTCAACGTAGAACTTTGCACAGATTTGCACCAGTTCAAGTTACCAAGCTCCATATAGCACACAAAACAAGGGTAGGAAATAAAGAGAGATAATAAACAGAAATAAGAGGCGATAAGAGTAATAATATGGAAAAACAACAGAATTTTATTGGATGCGTCTGCAACAGCCATTGACAACGAGGATTTCGAGCCATATCACCAACTGTCTCCAGCAGCCATTGGCTTTTATCATTCCAAGGACCCCAACCAGTCAGTCAGGAAACCAGTCTACACCTCCCTCCCTCCGTGACTGGCTGCTGGCTTAAACTAACCGTTGTGAATTTCACTGACTGAAGAAGACATGTTTTCGTTTGAACGCCACCACAAGCTCTTTTCCAACCTCATTTATCCTATGTCAGCGGAATAACATTGCTCGATGTCGAGGAAGGCGACAGCTGAGCATACGTAACACATGTCCTAACCATCTCAATTAGTGCAATTTCACAGCCTCGTCGATTGATTTCTCTTGTTTAAGTAGCACTCGACTGATGCCTCGCCTCAATATTGCTCAAGCTATTACACCTACCACGTAACACGGGAGATAGAACGCAGGCACCTATGATGAAAGACAGCTAGCTAGCCTTTTCATCTCTTCCATTCCCAATGGCTATGTCTCACAGCTACATCTATACAACAAATTCTAAAAATAGCTGTGAACCAATGTTGAAACGTATCAATTTCCGGTGGAAATTTCTTAAACCTTCGCCCCCCCCCCCATGTGTGTATTTCGTTTGTTGGATGTTGGGAAGGAAACACCTTATGGGTTGTTACTTCCCCTTAAGTCAACAGTACAACAACACCTCGACCTGATACTTCCACTATGAAGGTAACCACGTTTAATCCCACTAACGTCAAACCCCTTACAGAAAAATATCGTTACGGATCAGCGTTACCAACATAACAGCTGTTGATTAGGTCAGTTCATAACACTCATAACCAAGATTCAAGATAAAGTTTTGCATATTTTATTCTATAAAACCTTCGTTTTCTTCTTCTCCTTCTAAATAAATGTCTTCCCTACAGTTATTAAATATATTCAAGCCAAATACTACGAATCTTCAAGTATTGGTTTCCAAGTATAGGTTTGTAGGGATTTGGTTGATTGATTACAGGATTTCATCATGAGCTGACATTGGTTAGAGAACCATTGGAAATCCTGGGAGTACTGGACAGCTGTTTCATCCTAGTTTGGGACTCTTCAGCAGTACGCACCCAAACTGCGGGGTTCAATCCCAGGACCTTCTGGTTACAAGGCGAGCTCGTAGACCATTAAGCCACTGGGACCCGATCCAATGACCCATGAATTCTAACTTCTGCCAATTCACGATATAGCGCAACCGCTAGCCAATGTCTTCGGCGAGTATTTGTCCTCACACCCGACCTGCTGCACCCTACTGGTCACGACTTCTCACTGGAACCCCAGGTAACTACCTACCTGAATAGGGCCAGTCGGCAGTGAGCATCTCACTAATATTCAAATATTGGTTTGTAGGGATTTGGTTGATTGGTTACTGGATTTCATCATGAGCTGACATTGGTTAGAGAACCATTGGAAAACCTGGGAGAACTGGACAAGTAAACCATATAACAGGCAGAAAATAATGTGGAGACACAATTTAAACAGCTTACTTGGTGTTTGACGCGATGCAGTAGGTATTGATAAGTCAGAGTCTGGGACAGCAGGCAAATCAGGTATTACCGGAGTGACATCCAATAATTTCTGTTCAACACCCTCAGCCTGTGACAAAGAAAAAACAAAACAAAAGTAAAGTAAAGTCAAGCTTAAAAGCTAAGCCTACTCTGGTTATGATGAAAATGAGCATATAGTGAGTGAGTGAGACAAACACTTATGGCTTTTATCAAGTTCCATAAACTCTCAAACGGCATGTCTACTAAGTGGACTACACATATTGGAAGTCACTGACTGAAGACTTTCTGTGACAACGCACGTCTTTGAGTTTGATCAACTCGGCTAACCTATACTTGGTACTACTAGTCAGTTGGATGTATTCCCTGTAATCCCTCCCCACCACTAACACCACCCCCAGTGAGTGATGACGTTCCTACCCAGACTCGAACCTGGCACCTGTCGTTTCCAAATACTTAAATGTCATGCACTAGGCCACTTGAGTTATGACAGTCACTCCTTGTGCAATGGATATCGGTAATTATGCGTTTAAGTCAATTTTAGCGTTTCCCGATGGTTGATTACCTGAGATATCAAATCAGTAGGAAACAACAAGGTTGCTACCGTGATACTAAGAATGGTTAAGTAATTTGCCCATGTATGAATAACTGTAGGCTTTTCCAGATGAAAGGCTAAGGCTTCAGCAATGCGAAGAAGACGAAAGCGTATTTCCTTAGCCAGGTTATCTTTTACTTTGTAGACCACCCAGAAGGAGGCGTTTGATGTTGAGATGGAATAACCAGTGCTGACAAGGTGTTCGACTATCGCACTCCTCAACAGAGGCACTACTCCCTTTCTGCAGTCATGCGGGATAGTGTTCCTGAACCCTTTTAGACAGCATATGCATCAGACACCCAGTGTATATGGTTCTACAACAACAATTGAACCGATATACGCACATAGAAGTGGTGAGGTGCGAGATGTTGTCCTCAAGGCTTCTGCAGACCAGTGGACGACTAGAGGACACAACGTTTCACATTGCTGTAAAGGCTGATCCTCTCAAAGATGATAAAATTCTTCTTTTAAGGATATCGCAGGTTAACTCCGCCTTGAAATCCAAGTTGATGTAAAGTTTCTTTTGTAGAACAAGTAATGTTTCGTTCCTCTGAACTTTTGATTTGATAGTCTTGTCGATGAACCTTGGTGAGTATCATTTTTGGATGAAGGTTTTTTTCAGAAGATCTAGTTCTGCTTCCAGGGCGTCAGGACTGCACAGATGCAACAGATTCGAGTGACAAGGGATTTTTAATCAAATTGCATCTCCATTTGTAGTGATGAAGCCTCAGCTCTATTCAGTTAGAAAAACCGAAGATATGCATACAAAAGAAAATTACCTGAGACATCATCGAAGCGTCCGTATATTATGAACCGACATGTCAACAGAGATTGAACATTTTCGGTCCAATATAATCAATCATTGGGGGGGGGGGGGTACAAAATTAACTCAAACTCAAATAAGGCCAATGTTTGTTTAGGTTAGGTTAGGTTAAGAAACTGTAGAGTTGATTTCTCACTTTGAACAATTGATCGGCTTAATTTTTTTTTTCCTAACGGAAGTCTTGGATTCAGGTGACAGTGAAATCAGATTAACATTCGTTTTATAAGAAACATAAACAAAATCCTCGTTAGGTGCATAGTTTTAGGCATTACCTAATTAAATAATCGTCTCCACTAGTGACTCGACAAACTGATACACAAAAGAATGATAAATTACATCTGTCTGTCTGTCTAGGTTCAACACAGAACTTGGCACCCAAGTGCAGCAGTTCCAGTTGCCACGTTCCAAATACCACAAAAAGGTAGACAAGAAAATGAGTGAAGAGAATCAATAGACTTTTGACAAGTATAAAAGTGAAACAGAATGAGTAATGGTAGAAAGGAATATGAAAGATTACAGAGACTGAATACATCTGCGCCACTGACAACGATTTTCAGCCATGTCACCTATTGTCTCCAGCCATTGATTCTTAGAGTCCCGAGGGCGGGCCCCAACCCGGAAGTCTGCATCTCCATACCTGACTCAGTTTAACTGTCAAGGATTTCATGGATTGATGAGGCCATGTTTTTGTTTGGCCACCACTTACTCTTTTCCAACCTGCACCTATATCAGCTAGTAATGCCCGTCGGCGGAGGCGATGGTTAGGTATGCGCAGCACGTGACCTAGCCATCTCAATCCATGTAACTTTATAGCCTCGTCGATTGATTTTCCCTCTTTGCCCAACACTCTACGCCTAACGTCAACATTACTTACCTTATTATACCACCTAACGTGAGAGATCGTAGACATCTATGATCAAAAACAGTCAACGTTTTCATGTATTCAACTCATATAGGCCATGTTTCAGAGCCATTGAGAAGGACGAAGCGAACTGGTGAGCAGTACACACGTCCCTTGGTTGATAGCCGGGTGTCACGCCCACGCCAGAGATGGCGTAAGCTAGTGAAAGCAGATTGAGCTTTTTGGATTCGTGGTGAGATTTCGTCGCCAATCAGTCCGTTGGTGCTGATACAACTTCCCAAATAGGTGAAGTGGTCAACATGTTCTATCACTTCACTCCCCATCACTAAGCTAGGAGTTAACGTAGTCCAGTCCTGTAGCAGCATCTTACATTTTACAGAGGCGAATCGCATGCCAAACATACGAAGATTGCTGCTCAAGGTGTTCAGAAGACTCTGCATTTTGTCAGCATCCTCCCCTAACAGGACTATGTCATCTGCATATTCTAAGTCCATAAGACTATTCCCTGGTAACAAGTCGATTCCTAAGTCGTTAAGTTCAGTTAAGGACACTTCCATTAGCATATCTATGATGAAGTTAAACAGAAATTGGGAAAGTGGACATCCCTGACGGATAAATTACATCTGGATGAGAACTGAAGATATTAACTAATGTTGTTCAAATGAGCTAGGAACTCATTAATTGAAAAACATTGACTAGTGTGAGATAAAAAACCCTCCCATTTGATCACCCGCTGATATCAGTTAGAGAGAGCCATTGGAAAATCAGGGAATAGCTCAGGTGGATGATTTTGATTTGGTTTTACTCTCTGAGCTGACTGAATTAGTTGTGAAGCCTTCATTATCCTTCTAGCCAACATCTCCAACTCTAAATCGAAATCATCGAGTACTGGATAGCTGTTTCATCCCAGATCAGGACTCTTCATCAGTACGCATTCACTGGAGTTCGAACCTAGGACCCCCTAGTTATAAGCCAAGCTTGTAAACTGCTCAGCCATTGGAATCCGATCCAGTGACCGATGAATTCCAACTTTTACCACCAGCCAATGTCATCAGTCCCGTTGGCTGAATGGAAGTTGACACTGCAGAGCGGTCGCAAGCTGGGACAAAACAGCTGTTCAGTACTTCCTGACTTTCCAGTACTTCTCCAACCGATGTCAGGTCGTAATCAAACTTGAGACATATCAGTTCCCTACAAACTAACTGCTACTTACTAAAAAACCCCTCAGTCAGTATATCCTATTCAACTAGCCCCCTCCCCGCCGCCGCCCGCAACCCAACTTGACTGAAAATCAAATACTGTTTGGCTTTCAAATACAATTAGATCATCAATCCCGTAAAAAGAAAATGTACTTTGCTTACAGCCAAGTACAAAAGTGATTAAGTGGCCAGTGAGTAACACAGAACTGTTAATGCCTTGATAATTTCTATGAACACTACACAATACCACATATTAATAGACGTGAAAGACTACGATAGGCTTCAAAAGAATTGAATGTAAGCCACGAACAGAGATTACACAGAAACTTACTTGACGCCAATATGTAGGCGGCTAGTAGACTGTGAAGTGTACACACAAATGATAGGAATGCGTCGGTGGCACAGCGGTTAGGACGCTCGCCGACCATGCACATGGTCTGGGGTTCGATCCCCGCCCGACGCACACCCGATATCAATGGTTGGCCTGCAAAATTTGGGCTACCGATATCACATGCTGAAAATTCCATACGTATATCAAAAATACTGTGTGGAGTCAAGCTATAATATAATAAAATAAATAATAGATAATACATCAACTGACTACAGACACAAATCACAGGAAAATTGGTTAGGTAGTTTGCAACCAAGATTTATAGAATAGTGACTCTGTCTCGGTTTAAATCATTGAAATACGACTAAAAACTTGATAGAAGTTAGAATTCATAAGTTATTGAGTCTAGTCTCAGTGTATGTGTCGTCTCGTGACCTGAAGGTCTTGTGGTGGGTGTTCTGTACGAAAAGTTTCATACAACAAGGATGAAACAGCTACTTCCAGTGCTATCTAGTTTTCAGTGGTTCTCCCAATGATATCAATCGGTGATCAAACTTTGTTTCATTTTCTTTTCTTTAATTCCTTTAGGGGCATTTTGCCACTGAACCATCGATGCGTATTAGCATAATGGTACACCCATTATTGACTGTGGTATTTATACATTGGTTTTCAGGAGGACTGAACACACCTATCCCTGACTCCTGCAAGACAAGACCGGCATGCGATAGCATCCTGTGGCGTAACCGCTGAAGAGCCTATTCCCTCGGTGGACCACGACAAAATTCAAAACCAATCAAATCCCTACAAATTACCACATGGATATACATAAATGACGGAAGATTAGTGTTCTTTTGCTTATCATTGGGGACAAATATAGGATGATTAGATTGAGTAGGTGCATTGATATCCACCAGTTGTTCGATAATTACAGCATAGTATACGCTACAGACTGATATGGGAAGTTGGAATAGAACTCAGTTCGACAGACAGGTCTTTTCTGTGTCTAGCTATGAGCCACACTTATTGTGCTGTTGATACTAACCAGTTGCCCATGCCAAAGTAGATGGGATGAGATTCGAATCCGGGACCCACACCGACTGAAATTTGAATGATTAAGTCATGTAATTCCATTATATCAATGATGCTTAAGTCATGTCTCTATCCAAGGGAGTTGGGAAGCACTTACACACTCGTTAGCCATAATGGGGTGAAGCAAAAAACACTGAACAACCATCTACATTGTTTAACACTGCCTTGAGGGCAATGTACACCAGCTAGTGCATTCCAAAGATCAAAGCAGTGAATTCTAGGTGTTCACGCCATGAACAGAAACTCAACCGTAAAAACAGTATTTGCTTAGACAGGATAAAGATCTCATATAAATTATTAACTGGTGGCAATTAACGTGACAATTTGTTCAAACGTAAGTTGGTTCTCTGAAAGAAGCAACCTCCTTCACCTACCTACCTGGGAAGCAACGTTTCAACTACAGGCGGAACTGGTGAGAATATCAAAGCGACGATCGGGAAGGCAAGACAAACTTTCAATACTCTCAAGTCAGTGGGGAGATCAACATTCACCACTCAGCATGAAGTGAAGTCAGTGCTATTCTACACGGATCAGAGACTTGGCGCGTCACGAAGCGCACTTGGAACAAACTACAGGCCTTCATCAACAGCTGTCTTCACTCAATAGTACTCAAGATCAGATGGCCGGCCAGAAAAGATCAGCAATAGGGAGGGATCTCTGGCAATGAGCGAACCAACCCAGCAGGAACCAATTATGCAACAGATATGCAGGAAGAAATAGAGGTTGATTGGCCATATTCCGAGAACACCGTCAAGTGAGTGACATCACACACCAGGCCATTGCTCGAGTGGAAGCTGAATGGGAAGTAGTGAGTTGGTCGTCAGTGCGAGGGTGACATGGAGGAGGTCATGCGAAGAGGAGATGAAAGCATGTGGGCAGACGTAGAGCCAAGTGAAAACGTTGGCAAAGAACCGAATGCAATGGAGACGTGTGGCTGAAGCCTTATGTTCCTCTAGGAACTAAAGGAAACACTAATAATAATTATAATAATGTTGGTTCAGGTAAGCAGAATGGCCTCACAATGGATAAACACATCATCTTGACAACTTTACAGTAATAACAGAATTCGTCTTTACCAAGCTAATAGTTGCCTGTGTGAACAGACGAAAAACATATAGTCATAACACTGGTATTTGAGTATTTGTTTCAAGTGAGATGAGATCGCTTTTGCTGCACTTCCAAGACCAAGTTGCATTTTAAAGTCATTATATCTTAAGTAGAAACACACAGCATAGTGTAGTTTCTTCATGAAGGATGATAAGTTCCTTGCTAAGGATGCTTACGTTCTCAAACCTTTCTGTATTTATCAAACATATATATATCACTGAAGTGACTTTTCTTGTTTTCTAATAATCCAACTTCAGAAAACAACACTCAGATTTGAAAAAGGATGAAGTAATACTGAACAAACGCAGACGTGTAAACATACATGACAAACAGGTCATGGATAATGTTGTTATGACTAGAAATTGTAACTGACTATGCAAAGCTCGGTAGGTGTTTAGGGATTGAACCCTTGATACAATAGTTGGAAATCGAGCTTCTAATTCAATAGGCTACAAAGTCACAAATATATGCAGAAACACATTCTCAACGACACTACAATGATAAAGTCAAAGTACTAAGAACTGGTGTAGACTCATACTTATTTTTTACTGATGAACAAAAAGAGGAGGTGAAGTCATTGAGTTGAGTAAAGATGAAATTCTCCAAAAAACAGTCAAACCTACTCATGGAAAAAAATTAATGTGATCAGTCAGCTGGCGTAGACTGTTAATCATTTGTGTCTTCATAACCGAGAGTGAGTAGAATTTGGTCTTCCTGTCAAAACGCTTTCATCATGTGGCCACGCTTCATAGCTTTTACTAGATAATTCCTATTCACTGTCTTTGCGCAGCAGTGTTCCCCACAAAAGTATGTGGGCTCCAGAATTCGAAAGGGTCGGATGGTGTACGAACCTGTTTTGGATACCGAAAAGTATGACAAAATAGCTGCTCTACTGCTTTGTGGCTCAATGACTTCGAGTCAATGACTCACATGGTGGGTGGCTTATTAAGACACGGTCCTGTTTCAGTCTGAGCATCCAGACATTTGCCCAGCTGTCGCACAAATTATGAAATTTTCTGTGCAACACACCTCTTGGCACCCATAATGAACGAGGTTTGTTTTAATAAATAAAATAATTTTAAAAGAACATGGTCATCCCAGTTAACAAGATGGGAGATGAATCTTACGAAAACTACAAGGGGTCTAGCCTGACATAGTAAAAAGATTCCAGGTTCTATAGTCTTGTGATGACTAAGTGGAGCTCGGGTAAAACAAAATACAACAAAACTAGGCTAGTTTAGACTCGAAAAGAGGGTGCACTGATTATATCTTCACACTTCCATGGGTTCTGGAACATAGGCCGTCGCCCGAAACTTGCTATATTTCTTGGCCTGACGGTGGCATTTGATTCCGTTGATCAAGAGGAGCTGTCGGAAATGCCTCATTGAGAAGTCTGTCGAAAAAGCATAAAGTAGTAGTACCAGTAGTATAAACTAAATGCTTCCAGACAGAAAGTATTCTAAATTTGTAAATCTAGTCGTTCTGCATAATTTTAATGCTTAAAGTCAATTGCTAAATCACACCAGCCCGTGGTCAAAAATGATCACTCTCTTTAACAGCTGAGGGATTAGTGTAACATATCATTTGTCCACCATGCACCCTCATTTGTATCATTAAGAGCTGCTGCAAAAATTAGTGAATCTCAACTGAAAGTAGTAATTACAAAACAATTCTCAGTGCTGATAGTCTAGAAACGTATATACTCGAGAGTTCAACTCAGGTGCGCAGACTGAACATGTCACCGTAAATTAAAACCACGTTCAGTACAGGAAGCCATACGCTTTTAGAGTTGCACGTTTAAGAAATACTAATACTTATATGAGAATAAACTCAAATATTTATAAACCCCAATAAGTAAGACTTTGAAGCTGAATCTTTTAATATAGATGTACTTGAATATAATGAACCGACACATTCAGAAGTCTTTGATACGTGTGAACCAGTTGTCAAATACACCTTAATCATCAGTCCATAAGACACTTAATTAATAAGTAATCACTGGAACTGATATATATATATACATATATATATATATATATATATATATATATATATATTGTAAACAATTTTGGATGGTAACTGAATACTTATTAGTAATAAAGAAAGTATTCATGAAGATACACATGCCTATAAAAAGCCTTACTAATTTCGTTTATTAATTTACTTTCTAAATTACTATTATTAAGTTGAGGGAAACATCCTGCTGGACGCCCGAGTTAAAACAACAGAAATAGTGGAGCCTACGGAAAACTTATCAAACATAATAATACTTCGCTGTTTTCAGCATATATCCAGTTTGATTTATTCAGTAAAAATGTGAAAGTTACCTCAAGTTCCTCGAGTTCACGCAGAAGATCATCTTCATCGAAGTCGGCGTTGAGACCCATAGGCGTAGATATTACATTGGATATTTCTTGACTAATATCTCTTTGTTCCTGAATGTCATCCATAATATTTTGAACATCATCGGCAGTCCTGGGAGAAATAAAAAAATATGCAAACTTACATATTCTTGTGAACGTTCTTTAGAGCATTTGATCCATATCGCATGGCATTCAAAACTTCCACATTTGTTCCAGCATTCTCTAGTGCTTCAATGTGACTATCGATTGTGTTCAGTGTTCCATCAATCTGAGCAAGCTGCTTCTCATAGGTCCTTTTTCTAGCCAGAGCCTGAAGAGCCACTAGTAGATTCAAGAGATTCGAAACTTTTTCTTACATCTTTTATTTTTTAGACCATATTTTCTGGCTAGGGCTATCTGTTCTTCTACCTTGCCCTCAAGAAAGTTGGACTTTTTCGTGAGCATCTCATGGGTATCCCTAAGCTTTTGGATTGCAGTCTGTGTATCTGCCTTGTCATTCTTCCTCGACTTGAAGAATTTTGACAAGGAACTCATCTTTTGCCGCCAAACCAAAGGTTTTGTAGTACCGCTATGACCTACTATGTTAAGAATCTCAAGGTCACCTTTCTCATTCCGCTTATGGTAGAACTCTTCCAGGATTATAACTATCCCTCGAAATTCAGTAAAAAAGAAGAAAATTATTTTATATATGTATAGTAACATAAAGAAAATCAGGTAATGAGACTGAACCATTTTCCTAATTGTAGAGCTGTCAAAATAAGTGTCATGTATTGTGTAAACCTAGGATATCTTCCAAAATATCTACATTATCTCGAGACACTGCTCTCATTTGTACTTCCCCACAGAAGCATACAGAGAGGTTATTATGTAACCAATCATCCTATCAAAAGCAGTGGATTTTCACGAAAATTATTCAAAGCATTACTCCTCGATCAGAAGATGCTGATCCTGAAAATGAATAGATATGTAATTCACCCAGAATCTTATCGGAAGGTTTTCCCAGATTGTTTTATGAGGAGTAATCAAATGAGGGCTCACTGCAGATTTTGGCCTAATTCATCATAACCAGGCGTCCCAAGTTAACTACTTAGGCCCTAACTACTTAGATGCACACACACCCGGATTCGAATAGTTAGCTGTAGAATTTCTGGACGCACAAAAAGGACGATGAGAGGATCAACGCTTAGGTTTACGACTCGGTTTGGAGAAATTCGTCCCCTCCAATTTAACCCTGTCTCCGGGGTCTGCAAGTTTGCATCTTCAGAATCGTATAAATAGTTACAAATCCCAACACTTGTTCGTTCGATCGATTTTGCTTGCTATGTGGGTTATATTAAAGGAAACCTGACAACGTAGATCTATTGAGCTGGGTTAAAGAGTATCAAAGTAGCAGTATTCCGCCTAAAGTTTGCCAAAGATACATAAGTATATGATCACACTTAAGTTTATCTTCATATATGGACAATGAACAAAAGACCGGGGTAAGGGAGACTGGCTTTTGTGAATGCTCAGTTATACTGTCCACCTGTTGAGCCAAACTCAGCAAATTTAAGTGCTGGCACAGTTCACGCAAATTAGGGTGGTCGACAGGTTGATAATTATTATTTTCCTAGAAGAGTTACAAAAACTTGATTTCAACACTATGGTTTGTGTCTGCTATAGGTTCCGAAATTAAAGGATGAACAGCTGTGAATATTATCACTCGATATACATGATTTATTACATTAGTAATGCCTGTAAAATGGCGTCCCTCATATTTGGATGAATGATAATATATTTTTCGGTAATATTAGTAATCTGCTCTTTTTCAAAAACACTGCTTTTAATACAGCATGAAATTCTCAGCATTTGTCACAGTGTTGCTTCTGATTTAATCAAAATATAAATCAAAGTAAACACAGGAATTTGCCCACATTCATGGTAGAAGTACTGAATTTAATGTTCTCTTGATATAAAGTGGTGCGGGGAACAACAAAAAATGGAAAATATTACAGAGCTTAAATGATGTTAATACTTATGAGAAAATACGCACACATAAAATGAGAGGATTATAAATCTAATAAGAATAATAACAGTGAAGCCGGGTGGAATAAGGATAGAGAAGATGGTTTATTCACTAGTGGAAAGTAATTTAATCCGTGCATTACACTATTTTCATCACATAAAACTCGCGCCAAATATGGTATCGTGGAATTCTTATACTTAAACGTTCCTGCAAAAAGTCTTTTGAAATGACTTCTTGTTCTGCCTGAGGAGGAGATGCGAGGTGAAACCTGCAGGTGAAGTGGATTCTCGCAATGACCAAGCTAACGATATGACCCTATGGGATACCGCTGGCTCTACTGGCTGACAGTCTTCAGAGTTCTGCGAAGTATGACATAACCTTATTTAAGCAACCCAGGAAAGATTAAGGATGAACAATAAACAATCTGTAAGATGGACAAGTTGACATACTGCAAGAGGGGTTGAGTTATGCCTGAGTGCCTTAACTTCTTAACGTTAAAAATGAGACGAAATATTTGTTTAGAAAATTGTTCTGGTGTTAGCTGCCTTCATTTTCGACAGCAGTATGAAATATCATTTTACCGGTACTCCATAAAATTGCAAATTAAATGCTTTCAGAAAGCCCACTTACCATGAGACATTTAACACTGTTATTCTGACACTATGTACCACGTTCAGTTGCGCCACCGAAGCAGTGAGAATTGCGCAGAAAGAGGCGTTGTCGAAATCCGGGGATTTAACTTTCTTCATCATTCGTGGCTGCCAAAGTGTTTATTTCAGCAGAATATGACCAACCTTTAAAATTATTAGATGCGAAAGACGCTGTTTAGCACAGCGCAGTCTGAACTTTCGTTTGCAGTTCCTCCACCTCCTGTTTGTTACACCTCTGTGAGCGGTAACCATTTCGGTTGATGAGATCTGGCCATGGTTGTAGTTAGAGAGTTAACATATTTAGACGCTTCCTGTATTCTTGAATTCAGAGTTTCTATCTCCCAGTAAGTTACCTTTCAGACCTGAGGGTGGGATGACATCAGCGTTTTGTGTGAAACCTGTGGTGTGCAAACCATATTCAGTATCTTCATGCGGTGAAATGTCAGCAAGTGAACGGTATAGTACAGGTGTTCAGTGCTCATCACAAATCTGATGTGAATTTGGAGTTGCCCATGAAAGTTAAGATTTTTAGTTCCTCTGTAATAGTTCACACTACCTCCAGGATCCTAAAAACATCAACTGTGCAAAAACCTTTTTGCTTATCAGGAATCACGGGGATGTTGCTCATGACAGCGTGCCCCTTCTTTCGAACCAAACTTTATATATTAATTTTCGACAGATGCTCCTATAAACCAACCATCTGTTTTTATCTCAACCCCTAGGAAGCATCTTAGCGCACGCAAAAGAATACAGAAATGTTAAATTAAAAGTCAGTTTCACTTCTACTTGCTTGAGGCTAGTTGCACCTACTTTCCGTGAACCACATATACATGTATTCATATGTAGCCATAACCCGTGAAGTCTTCGCTGTTGTGCAGGATGCCAGATTCCAATGAAGTCGTTCGAACACCTACTAAATTTTAAGTTCAAACAGTGTCGTGTGAGTCTGCCTCGGGACCCTGTGTTATCAGGGCCTTGTTTAGGTTGTCAATGTCGTACTAGAGGATAGAGCTGAATATGTATTACTTGACTTGATCTTCACTAACAAGCCTCCGTGTGATATTAGTCTGGTTTGTATTACATGCGCTCAGTTAGTCACTATTTCGGTCTATGCACCAGCATATTTCAGTCCATATGCCACTAACCATCTGTTCTGTCATCACCCGAACGACCAAGGTAAGACAGCTTTGTCCAATGGGGCTACTTCAGGTCCACAACGCAAGCTAAATCCAGATGTGAGCAACGCACAACTCAACATTTATAGCCACCAGGCTTAAAATGTTGATCTCAATGTCATCTAATTAGTATCAGTGCGCATCACGCCACACCACCACTAGAAAATATCTTACTGCGAATGTGGTGGCAGTAATTATCTTCAGCTGGCTTGTCTGTCAAAATGTGATGCATGTGCAGGTATTTCTCCATTTTACCACGTCATTTTCTAGAAGACCAGATAGTTACAGTGCTTGAACAACTGCGAGCCCGCATATGGTTGGCCTCAACTACAAATGAGGCGAACGATTACTGTGTTGTTATCTATCATGCTCGGTTTGAGCCTTGGTCACACTACCTGTTGACTATTTATGCTAGTCCACCTAACCTTGGGACTGTAAAAACAGCCCTAACCAGAGGACGCAGAACATAACCCCTACTGTTGTTCAAAAGTATATTTGTTAACGATAATACGAAGGCAGTATAGAGATAAACAATCACAACACAACGCACACCCTGGCTCTTGGTTCTTGAAAATCCAGTTGATCACCACTTGTTTTAATCGGAAAGATGGAAAAATTGATTGCTGACGGTGGAACAGCTAAGGTTCAACTGATTTGATGGGCTTCTTAGATCATGTACTGATTTTCTTCTTCGTTCGCTCCTTGTCCTCTGCTAGTAGCACTTGGGAATAAGAGGAATAATGGTGAAATTGCTGTCAAAATAACTACGAAAGTTAATGGTCAAACTGAGACACAAATACACCACAAAAGTCTGAAAATAGGGGCCACCGAAGATTCCCTTTTTCATGTATCTGACATGGTACATCTAACCTGCGACACAGGATATGGCAAATTGCTTTTCGCATGTATAAAATGCGGTGCCGCGAGCACAATGGCTCCTTCCTCCGTCTAAAACTGATATACATCAAGTTTTGCCCTGTGAGATCAGTGTGCATGTGCTGCAGGAACCTCATGGTTCATCCAGAACGTGTTTTGCTCTACATCCTGCTGAGGGCTTTGGTTTTTCTTCGCAGTGCTGGTGACCTTTTTGCAAACCGGTCAGCTGCGTATGATTCGGAACAGCTGGCTCAGAGCTCAGTGGATTTCCTTCTAAGTGGCCTATTTTCATGTGATCTGTGTTACCTCAGTCTTTGATATCTTGTCTAGAACGAAGAGTTTGTCCATGGCACATAACGGTCCATCGTATGGGGGTTATAGCAGGTGGTATCCTGAGTAGCAACGAACATACAAGCGTTAGAATGCATTAGAGATGGGTGAATAAGAACGTTTGTAGGCTGAGGTCGGAGGGGAGCATGGTAAGCCAAATACATCGCCTTTTTGAGTTTTCTGAAGCGCCAGGCACGATGGGTACTGGGAGGCAGAATGAATCCACCTGTCAATCAGGGCGTTGTTCCGTACACCACCATGATGGTAGCGCAACCAGCACCACTTTCCAGGACGTTTCGTACACCAAGGGGGAATAAAGGTAGTTATTCAGAGAACTGTGTAGTGTCTGCTGCTGATAATCCAGCCTTCCACTTCCGATGAAAACATTCCACCATGCTGTTTACGTGAGATGATAGTCTGCTGTTCTGAAATGCATGTAGGCTATGAGCTACGTCAGAGCCCAAAATAGGCCGATTCTAAATTGCCACCCACGATAAGCTTTCGCAGGGGAAAGGCAGCACATCTTTCCGCCAATAAAGGCCAAAA